GTATAGATAGGGGCTCTGGGGCAAGTGATGCTCTGTCTTTTTGGTGCTTGGGGGGGGGGATCAACAATGGGAGGGCTTCTAATGTCCTGGCCCCACTGGTGGACCTCCTGATGGCACTGGTATTTCTGGCCACTGTGTGATAACAGAGTGTTGGACTGGATGGGCCTTTGGCCTGATCCAACATTGGCGCCTCTAAAAAAAAAGACCATTCTCTTCCCCATCAGCAAACAGTATGTGTCCTGCCTCCACTGTCATAGAGACTGCATCTGTCAAAGGGCAAAAAAAAAAGTGTGTTTCTCCAGTTCACTGCAATTAGTCCAGTATACGTAGATAAGAATCTCACTGGTAAAGCCTCAGCTCAGTTCCCGGCCATACCCAGAGCCAAGGGAGAATCCTCTCCTGACTGAAAGTAGCAGGTGAAAAAACATAGATCAAAGCTGCTGTATCCGCATCGAAAAAGGCCACACGATCCTCTTCGTAGTCCAGAAATACCTGGATCCTCCGGGGCCAGCTGCTCAGGGACAGGGTGGTCACAGGGTAAGTCAGAGCCTCAAAATAATCTCCATACTGTTTTAGTGCCCAGATCTGCTCCTCGGGGCTAGGGATGATTTCTCCTTTTCGCCTCACAGATTCTTTGGCAAAGCCTACAGCCCAGTATCTCCCACTTCCTACTTCAACTTCCCAATAATGTCGCCCTGACATGAATCCCTCGCAGCCCAGCACACAGGGATAAGTATCAAATCTCTCAGGGTTGTCGCATACATCCTGCCATACATCTCCCAGTCTCACACTCTTCTGGTCCGCAGAAAGGATGAGGAACGGGTTTGCAGTCCCTGGATCCAGAGTTACGTTCACTTGGAGGGTAAAGGGCAAAGAGAAAGAGAGTGTGTGTTATAATCAGAGGCAGTTGCAACAAAGGAGACTGAGAAACCAGAGCACGTATGAAATTTGCCATGGGGATGCCAACAAAAACAGCCAAGCAACCACTGCTGTGGCTGCAACGTGTACACAAGCACTCACCTCTTCTGCCTGTTCTTTTTGCGACCTCAGCAAAGGGAAGGTCAAATAATCGTGTCCTGGCCTTTGGGATTCCGAGTGCATGTTTCAACAAGGGTGTGCTTTCCAGTTCAGATGACAGACCATCTAGCAAAGGAAGGAGAAAGACAGATTAGCTTCCACATGCTACTTAGGTCAGTGATTTTCAACCCGGAAACCCTTTCTACATCTCCTTACCGGCTGAGGAACCCATGAGTACGGCTGAAGATTCTGGAACACATTCTAGGGCACATAATCAATTCATGTAGTTAGGCCTGTTTGTCTCACTGTCACTCTAGCACAGGAGAGCTCAAACTTTTTCAGCCTGTGGGCACCTTTAGAATTCTGACACAGGGTGGTGGGCACAGCACAAAATGGCTGCCACAAGATGGCTGCTGCAGGAGGCAGAACCAAATACATGGAGGAAGCCCAAACACAAGGAAGAAACATAATTTAAAAAATACACTGAGAAAGAAGGGTGAGAGAAAATAAAATCAACACTGTGGCGGCAGCTTCTACTGAAATAACACTTTTAATCTGCCCAGGCAATCAGATCTCTAGTGGCCAAACAAGAAGCCCTGCTGGGCAAGTGCGCGACTTGGCCCCACACACTTTCTAAAAATGCGTAACAGGTGCCAGGAAAGGTTTCAGTGGGCACCATGTTGGAGACCCCCTGCTTTAACATGTACAGAGAATGCAACGCTCCCCAGCAGTCACACATTGTCATGGCATGTAAGCTGTCATTCACTCCTCTGTCGTTACTGAGGAAACCCAGGCATCTCTGGGGACACATCTTTTCATGGGAACACATGAACACATGCAGGCCTCACATGAAGAAATTCATATCAGCAGGGTCCCAAAGAAAATGGTGCCATCAAGAGCTGAATTTGGCCCCAAGATAAGTAGAACAAAGATATAGACCTGGATCCTGAGTACCATCTGTAGAAGGTGTGGGCCTTTGATGTGCTCCCTCTCCCCACCACAGTATTCCCTTCTGAACCCTGGAAAGTAGGTTCTAGGGGTCCCAGGACCATGTCATCCAACAGCCAAGTGGACTGGCAGTGCTGGGGAGGTGCCTCTTTCTCCCACTTCTGTCAGTGAATCTGTGCTGATGTTGGGAGGAGATGATTTTATTCACTTGCCCCTCCTCACTACAGTCCCTGGCCCACGTGGATCCCAAAGAAGGATATAATTCCCAGAAATTAGAAGGAATTGCTGGGGGACTCGGGTGGCAAACATTTGCTCCTTCCATGGACAGTACTCAGGATCCCATCCATAACTTTCCATAACCTGACTAAAGTTTATTATTCTCTAAACATGTTTGATGTTACATTAGATGCTGACATGTAAAAAGAAGATCCCATATGTGAAAGAATGCTATAGTTTGCAAGTCTGCCAGTTCTACTTCCCCAGGCATTTTTTTCTCCCAGTCTGACTCACTTCCAGTATTGAAGCTACCAACCCTGTGACCACACACACAGAAATGAGATGTTGTTGTTATCCATTCAGTTGTGTCCGACTTTTGGTGATTCTATGGGCCAGCTCTCTCTACGTCTTCTGATCTTGTACTGTTTTTTTGAGTCGTTCCATGCTCAGGATGGTATCGACTTTTATGGTGTCTAGCCACTGTGTTCTTTGGCGGCTAGGTTTCCTTTTGCCACTAACCAATCCAAGCATAATTACTTTTTCTAGTGAGTTCTTCCACATGACATGGTCAAAATAAGTACCCAGAAGCAAATATACAAATGTAACCAGGTGATATGATTTCCTATTTTTTCCTGCCCTGATACCTTTGAATTTCCTTTGGAAATCTTCTAGATGCATGGTTTCCTCAGAAAATGCATTCAGCCTTCTTTCCAGATCAAGAGAATGCTCCACTGGCTGCTGGATCTTCTGGTTTTCACACCTGGAAGGGGAAAAGGCTCTTTTCACCCAAAGGGCTCAAACCCACTTTGAGAGTCAATTATTCCAGAACAAGATTATTATGAAATAACGAGCCAGTAGTTCTGTAGGTGGAAGAGAGCGATGGCATCAAAAGTGGCCTGGCAATTACTGAGCTGATGCAAGCAATGATAAACTTTGCAGATTTTAATTTGGCCCCTTTCACTCAGGACTAGGAACTTTAAAAGTACTGGGAATCAAGTACAGCAGAGAAACTGTGTGCAGAAGATACCCCATCTACCTACTTCAATTGTAAATGTCTCCCAGCCTGGCAAGGCAATGAGGAATTTCTTTTGCTATTCCTTCCTCATTCCCTTTCATAGAAAGCTATGTTACTGTAACAGATTTAGGATTAAGGTATAATTTGCATCTATGAATGATCATGGTCTATGCTAAAACTGCTTCTCTAGGTAGACCGAAGACTGCAGATCAAGGGTGGAGCCTCATGCTCCAAGACTTTGACATCTTACGTTTAAGAGGGCACAGGAACATGTGGTGGCAGAAGCCTTATCAAGGAAGGTGTAAAGGTACCTTAGGTATGTAATGTGTTTAACTTGTTGATTTGTATATATGTGTGCTATAACCTTGTTTTCCTTAACAGGAAATACTTTGTGGTAATGGATAATATACCTGGTTTGCATATTTCTTGGTTGTAAATGTTAATGAAGTTGTGTTTATAATTACAGTGTTGTCCATTGTCCAGGAGAGACCTGACCTGGGTCTCACCTGTGACAATATTAAAGGATGGGCATGGGATGGATGGACAAAATCCTTCCCATTTCTAAAAAAACACCAATCCCCTTTTCTCCTGTTTGGTGTGGGAGCAGAGCAGCTGACTGTCAATCAGGATCCATTAATTTCTCAAAACTGAGTTGGCAACTGTAAGAGCAAGCCACCCATGTTGGTGTGAGACAACTGAACTCTTCCTGTAATACCCTAACTCAGTGGAGATTCAGGAACCATTTGGTATATGACCAGTAATTTTCCATGAGGAAGACTCGAAGGTCTGAGAGCCTGTAAAGGAAGTCTCCTTCCCTATGTTATAGAGACACTGAGATAGGCTGGCTGGCTGGCTAGGAGGAGGAGAAACAGAGAAAGCAGCAGACGGCCATAGCCAGTGTTGGTTGAAGCACACTGGGGCACAAGATGTCCCCGTCTGGAGATCTGGTGCAGCGTGGTAGACCTGCTGTCCTACAGGAGTGGCTCTACCTGTGTGCTACCCGTATATTTGTAAATAAAGCAAATGCTACAAAAATGCCATTATATCTCCAGTGTAATGTCCTCCAAAGGGAGCTGACCAAGGTAGAGTGCTATGGTCCCATGAAACTTCTCACCACCCAGAGAAGTAGGATGCATATACCTCTATGGTGCTGGGCAGAGAACTCTCCATGTCTGGTTCAGTAGCAAAGGGTGAGTAAAGTTATGCTCATCAGACCGACCCTCTGTGCCCCAAACCAGGCAGAGCGACTTGATTAAAATAAGCAAATTAATTGATTATTATTCAGATTTATCACCTGCCCTCAACTTTAAAAGGCACAAAAAATTAAGATAAAAATAGTAGTAATTTAAGCCAAAATAATAAAAACAAAATAGCAAAATTAGTTTTCAGCACGGTTCTGAATGCTGAACAAGTTGCTGATTCCAAATTTAGTGCAGACGCAGCAGGGAATTGTTGCCTTCAGATTGCCATGAGAGCAAGACAAGAAGTATCATTTACCTGTTTAAGATGTTCTTGATATCCTGGAAATGGAGAGAGACATGAAAAGTAAACTCATGCTGATCAAGTCTACTCTTGCCCTAACTCTATTTATAGGGGCCATCATATAGGGGGGGCTGGTCTTCACATGGAGCTGAGGCCTGAGTAAGATGTGATGCTAGTTAAGCAGAGAGCCTGCCCATGCAAGAGCTCAGGGTTTTATTTTGAGTTGTGCTATAATCAGGACAAAGCACACACGCGTGCTTTGTCAGCACACCAAGACAACATCTGCAAGGACTACTGATCTCTGGTGTGCAAACTGGTGTGCTTAAAATAGCTTAAAGTTTTCTGATATGTTACAGGCTACAGCCTTCAACCAATAGTGGGCATTCTGATAGTGTGAAGAGCTGCTTTCCATTGCTGTTCACATCTGCCTGAAAAAGCACAGATCTGTTTTTTAAATGGGGTGTTTACATTTGGAAAATATTTTTCAAGGAATCTAGGTCCTGCAAGAAATAAATGAGGTGTGTGATTATGTTCATCTTAAAGTATTTGTTCTCTCCAAAGGGCAATGTAGGAGCTGTCCCCTCTAAAGGTCTTGAGGGATATGGTCTAAGACTCCTTTCAAGTATAAAAAGGTAAAGGTAAAGGTTCCCTTGCTTGAAAGCCAGTCGAATCCAACTCTAGGGTTGCGGTGCTCATCTCCGTTTCAAAGCCGAAGAGCCAGCGCTGTCCGAAGACGTTTCCGTGGTCATGTGGCCAGCATGACTAAACACCAAGGCGCACGGAACGCTGTTACCTTCCCACCAAAGTGGTACCTATTTATCTACTTGCAATTTCTTGCTTTCGAACTGCTAGGTTGGCAGGAGCTGGAACTAAAGACGGGAGCTCACTCCGTCATGCGGCACTCGGGTCTCAAACTGCTGAACTACCGACCTTCCACAGCCTGCAATTCAGCATCTTAACCACTTGAGCCACCGCAGCTCTTTCTTTCGAGTATATTAAGCCCTAAAATAGGCATTCCCCTGGCAGCTGATGTTTAGATTATGAACCCCTCACAACAGGGACCTGCCTTTTTTACATATATTGATCTATAAAAAGCTAACAAAAGTCATTTTTACGATACTGTTTTGTGTCAGGCTCAGTCAACAAGGGCATAAAGAAAATGTTTTGGGATGGAAGTCATTTTCACTGACGATTCACCAGACTTGTATCAGCTGTCCCAGAATTAGAATTCTCTGGTTATCTGAAGCAAAGTAGCCAAAGCACATGGGAAGGCAAAGAAAAAGGTTCACTTGTCATTTGTCCTGAGATCACATATGGTAATCTGTTCACTCCTGAGCACAAGCAAAAGCCCATCTCTCCAAATTCCAAATGGACCGGGGAGTGGGGTGCAACTTCACACAACCCATCAGCCTGTCCTAGCCCCTTATGCCCTGCAAGGAAGGATCCATGTTCTCACCTGCAGGAATTCATTCATTGGTTGCTTACACTTCTCCTCTATCTCACTAATGAGGTCACTAAGATTCGAAATCTCTTCCGACAGCTTGGAAGTGATTGTCTTCTTCTCCTTTATCAACTCGTTCTCTAGCTGTTCCAGCCTGGCAAGCAGAAGTTGTTCTTGATCCTCCAGAAACTGGTGCAGATGCTCAAACTCAGAGACAACCCTCTTCCCTTCATTGCCTAGCTTTTCCTATAAAGAGCAGATAAAATGAGGGAATGGCCAAGACAACAGAGAATTTCATAATGCAGTTCCTTAAAACTCATTGGGACCCAGGAAGAACCTCGTGACTTGTGGAAAAAACTGTCTCCTGATATCATAGATGCATATGAATGATCAAGATGAAGAAGGATGAACAACATATAAGTGTTACCCCACTTTCATTCAGTAGCACAGGACTAAATAAGTTGTATATG